GTAACAATTTAGAGACGTTACGTGGGAGTTACCAGTAATCCAGTTCGAAGTATTTTTTAATTGCTAAACGTATACAAAATAAAGAACATCGTCCACATACATAGTGATCTAATCTGTCAATGAAAGAAAACATGTTTTGATGATAATTAGCTTTATTTTTGCCTCTCAGGCCTATCAGGACACCCATCGTAAAAACAAGAAAAAACAAAAAGAAAATCATTAAGGTTATGTAAGTTAGAAAAGTTACATGAGATGAATGAAATAACATGAATGAACTGAAGTAAACAATAGTGAGAAAATAAAACTTAGCTTACCGACCAAGATGGTAAATATGTAACGCGACCACTTAAACAGAGAAGTAACGTGCAAATGTACATACAATAAAATAAAATATAAAATAAATGTCCCGCAGTTACAATACGTTTACAAAAACGATTGTGGGAATTTTATAAAAGTTTCGAGCTTATCCTCTCCAGGTTGCGGTACCGAATTTTCTACATTTTTGGAAATCCAAGCAACAAACTTTTGGCAAACGAATAAATTAGGAACAATACGTTTCGATCTGCGTAAGTTTTTTTACTACATAGGCTGTATTTACCCACTACTCCCTAGCCTCGTACAGCATTATTCCATCGGTTGAATTTGCGAGTGAGCTTAAAAATTTGTTCTAAATTGGAAACATCTGTTTTCGAAAGACCGTTCATGATACATAATGGAAAAAACTATATAATCCAATAGAAAGTACCAATCGACCCGACGTAACAATAAAACAAGAATAATAAAAATGTGCAACCTCAGCTTGCTGACACGGCGTTATAAGCGGAAAAATGGCAAAAAGCCAAGTGAACAAGGAAAAAACACATGTGAAAAATAGCATTCGTTTGAATTCGATATTAGAAGTGCCATTGAATCTACTTGATCTTACTATAGTTACTCTTTGTCTGATTTTTGTTTTGTATCGTATCACAAAGCGATGACAACCTTCTCACCACAGCTGGTCAAACGCTTGTTTGAAATCAACAAAAACAGTTACTACGGGAGAGCTATTACTTATAAATGACGAGATTTGATCGATCTAGAGCAGGACTCGAGTTTGGAGACGAAAATTAAGCTGAAAGCCCGATTGAGAATTATGAAGAATACCCCGATTTTCTAACACCGTTTGGAAACGAATAACGAATAGGCGTTCCAAGACTTTACGGAAAACATTCTATGTTCTTGCGCACTTAAAACAATTTTTTGTCTTAATCTTCCCTTTGAACTGTTTTCTGAAGGCTGAGAAAAGTCAGCTTAGGCTCGTAACATTTCTAGATGTCAGTAACAAATGCACATATTGATGAGTTTTTCTTATTGTAATCTAAATTCTATTGAGAAAAAGAGAAACGAATAAAACGATATAGTCGAGCAGCTCATGCTCAAATCTTCAGAAGAAATAAACAGTAAAAAGAGAAAATTATTTTCTAAGCAAGCACAAGGCAAACAGGAGTAAGCAAGTTTTTCTAATCAAGAACAATAAAAGGAAAATACGTAAGTTTGGCCGAAACAAGACTAAATGTTAATACACGACACGCGTGTTATAGACATTCAACACTGTTGGTTATAAAGGTATGGTAGAATGGATAATGAAAAGCAAATTCCTTAACAATTTTACGAAAGGGTGTTGATTTTATTTTCATACAGTCATTTTTAGGGAATAGCAAATGAAGATTTGATATTTTTATCTATTGATGATATTTTCTTAGCTCTTGAAAAACGAACATATTAGATTGCATAGTTACAGCTAAAAGAATTTTTTAAGGACACATCTTATAAGTATAATGAGAAAATAAAATATCTGTTTATAAATGTTCCTGAATTGCTTTTGTGTTTATGTTCTTGAGTGGTACTAATTAATTGATCATTGAACAAAACACACGAAAAAAATTATTTGACGAATTATAACGTTACATTTATTCAACATTTGCCTTGAAGCTCTCATTATTAAATCGTCCCTTATCACGCGTATTAATAACTATAATGACTTTATATGAAGTATAATATCAACTTGTTCCAGAAGGCTTCCATCAAAAGCAATAAATTGCTCATCGATTGACACATATATAATTGTGGAGCAGTTTCTCTTATTGAAGATGAGTCTTCAGTTGCTTCGAACACAAGCGCCAGAATGGAGCTTGTTTTACGCGAAGAAGTAGCCTGCTTCAGGACACTCTCGCTCGGAAATTCACTAAGTAGTAGATCTCACCATGTACAAGATTTCTGTTCTATTTTAAGCTCCAGAAAGTGGCCTGACCTAGCGTTATGGACTGGCGTATTTTTTTCATTCAGTTAGTAAACCATGGACTGGTTTACAGAAATTTTTTTCTCTCAGAAACTGAGATAAAAATCTGAAATCGGACTCCGCTATGTCATAGCACCTTGTTTCCTCTTTAAATTAAGATCAATCCGAGCTTTATGGAGCATAAAATAGGCAAATTTTGCAAATGGCAAGACTTTTAAATCCTAAAAACGATTTTGAGAAAAATGCAAATATTTTTCTTTCGGAAAAGCTAAATTTCTTGAGAAGATGGCTCTAAAATTATTTGAAAATTTATTTTTATAAGTTTTGCGACAGGGATGCCATCTCTAAAGGTCCAAAAGCAGAAAATTGTTTCAAAAAAGCGGACAGCATGTGTGTTTTTATTTCAAGTGTATTTTCTTTTTTTTGCTAGTCCCACCGATTTTTTTCACATAAGAGAGAAACATATTCACACAGCAGTAAAAAACAGATTAACAATAACATAAAAACTAAGCATAGATATTGTCTTTTGAAATTATACTTTTTCACCAATTGTTCATCTGTCAAGGTCGCTACCATCTATTCACAGTTAAAGAACACAAGAACTCCTTCGGATGAGCTATCAGGAAGATATTTTCGCTATAAAACGAAGTACAGTGCTGTTTAAATATAATTTATCAAAATTCCTGAAAAGTAGACGGCGGACACTTTGCGGAAAAAAGTCCAAAAAGCGGACCAGTTGGCAATACAATTAATGCGATCGAAAGCGAAGACTCTGAGTTATCAGACGATGTATAAATCTCAAAACCATAGGAAGGCAAATAATAGTTCCTAAAGAATTTTGACAACAGCAAGGCGCAGATCAGTTCCTAGTATGTCGTTGTCCCTGTAGCGGGTAAGGTTGGGTCGTCATGTGTGTAGTTAATATATATCACTAAATCTCTGGGTTGGGTTATCATGTGTGTCTCACGAGTGATCATCAGTTCTATATGTCTAGGTTGAGTTGGGTTGTCATGTCTGTAGTTAATATATATCACTAAATCTCTGATGATAACCCAACCCAACCCAGACATATAGAACTGATGATCACTGGTGACCACTCATTATTAGTTGAAGATGTTACACCATCTGTTATCAACTAGATCACGCCCAGTTAGAGCACAAAAAAAACCGACAACCATCCGATTATCGGCAGGCTTGGTGATTATAACTGTGGACATATTTAGAACTTTTTCATCTACGGTCTCTTGCGATTATGTCGGTCCCAACACGCGGTTTCAACGGTTTTGATTCTTTCAACGACGGTTATCGTTTCACCAGTTCTGCACGATTGCTATCACTGCTACATAATAAAACTCATTTAAACGACAGGCATTCAGTCTTTTATCTCAGCGATTAACCAAAGTGAACAATTCGACAAAGGTAAGCTGATATGGATGAACCGCAGATTGTTCCTAATAGAGCTGGAATGAGGGGTCTTTGTTATTATATCAATGCTTATTTGCATGAAAACAACGCGATTATTGTCAGTTTCATGGAGGAAAAAAACTGGTCATAACCACAGTTAGCATCGGATTATTTCAAAAAAACCGATCGAAAAACCAGCTATCCAACAATGGTTTTCGCCAGAAACTACACAGGAATGTGCGTCGTGAGGCGCTCTATAAAAACATGTATTTAAACGTTGATTGGGTTATATCTTGAAGACCCCAGGTCGCCTTTTCAGCTTTTACGCCTACATATCAGAGTCAGAACAGAATCGTAAACCCGAATTCAACCAGCCAGTTGATGCGGATTTCCTACCGATTCAGCTTTAAAAAAAAGATCATTTTTACCCATGAAAAAAGGAAGTAGAAAGTTACACTGGAAAGAAAAGAAGAGTATAGTTGAACTTCACAGGAATCATTCTTTTAAAAAGATAATAAAAACGTCCCAAAAAATTTTAAAAATATCAAAAAGTTCTTCGATGTAGAATAGGCTCTACGAAAAGGATCAATGCTGTCTGTCGCAAGGCGCGACTAACAGTCCTACAAAAATTTTCAATTTTCACCCATTTTTGTTTGCTCGTTTTTTTACCGATTGAATAAATTTTCAAAGGATTCTTGAAACTGACTCGTGTTAGCGTCCTAGACTAGTAATGATAGACGCAAAACGGATATTCGTCCTTCTTTCTTCTACTTAAATGTCCTAATAATATGTCTTATAACAAATCTTCTGATAGAGCTTAAATTAACATTGACGAAACGAAAACGACATTAGACCATTTTAGAAAACTGAAAATGAGTTTCAGTAATTGGAATCGTTGTTCTTACAGTTGATTTATTTTAGACAACTCATCATCCACGTGGAAAGTGAGAAAGATTTTTATTTCTTGTTCGTTAGTGAATATATCGTTTTGCTATTTTAGTATTTTAAAGACGTTTCGTAATTAAATGTAAATTAAAGTTATGATAGATTTGATTGCAGCATATTTAATAAACAAAGTACACTCACACACTCACACACACACACGCACACACACACACGTACTGACGTATAAACAAAAACAAAAGCATCGTGAAGACACATAAAAAATACCAACCACTATAGGAAACACTTACACACTTTCTACAAATTTCAATTTATAAAATTGAATAATCTAAATATATAAATAAAATACTTTATTCGGTAATAGATTATGATGTGAGACGTTGCCATATTGATTAATAGATTTTTCGAGATTATATTAAAATGCTGTTCCATATCCATTCATAAAATACTGTTGACTATCGACAATAACAGATGTATGATGATAACCAATTGTTTGATCATAATTACTATATCTTCTTGGATTTTGTAATTGATCAGAATAAGAATTATCAAATTTATAACAATTTGGATATAGACCACCATTCGTTGGTGATGTGGAAGATGATGAAGATGACGTTGTTGTTAATAATTCACTGTTAAATTTGGATATTTTATTATTATAATTATTTGTATTTTGATAATCTGTTTGTGTTATACATGATGATTGGGATGGAGTTGATTTTGTACACTCATTATGTGATAATCTTAAATGAACTTTTTTTGGTGATACTATGGCTGAGTTATTTCTATTCGTACAATAGGGTGTATTAATATGACTATCTGTTACTGAACCACGTGTATTGATTGAACGAAGTCGATTGGTTGTTGTTGTTTCAAAATGATTTGGAGATTGTTTCATTGGCTTTTTACGAGACGTGGAATTTAATGTTTTTAGTGTTGATGAAACACAATTCAATCCTGGTTCGTCATTATATGATAAATAATTACTAGCAGACGAGTCTGTCCACAAACGATGTGGTGTATCGTACACAATTTGAGTTCCACTACATCCACTTAATTTAGTTTTTTCAGGTGAAGATAGAGCTGCTGCTACAGCACATTTATCATCGTTTGTATAATTGTTGTAATGATGATCTGTTGGATAGACTGTAGTGGAAGCTTCAACTCGCAAACGACTATCCAACGCTACAGCAGCTGCATTATAAAATGCGTATGGATAAGCAGTCGAAGAAGGTGCAAAAAAGAGTTCATCATTGTAACATCCAACAACTGAATTATAATCCTCGACCGGAGATGAACTTCTATCATCTTGCAATAAATTAAAACCGTATGGTTGTTGTGTTGTTGTTGTTGTTGTTGTTGTTGTTGTCAATGGCATGGTCGTTGTTGATGATGCATTTGTCGAAGTTGACGGATAAGGTGATTTACGCTGTTTTGGTCGAGATTTTATTTTCAAAGTTCGACTAGACGAATTTGTATTAGCTAGTTTTTCAGCACCATTTACTGGTGACTGATAAGGATCATTTGATCTTTTTTCAATTTGATTAATTGAAAGATGCAAATGTTTAGCTTCGATATCACTAGATTAAAAAAACCCAAAAACTGATATATAAGAACTATTCTAAGATTACTCATCATCTTACGTTAGAGCGTGATTAACACTGACAATGCAATTCGGGCGAGATGATCGGCTGTTATGAACCAATGTTGCGTAGCTTTGTACTAAAAAACAGAAAAGCAAAAAGACGGATTTGATCGAATTACACAGTAGAACTTTTGAAACTTACACCAAATCCATCCACCATCTTTTGCAAGAAATCTATAATACCGTGTAGTTACTTGTCCTTTACTAAGTACTAAAAATTTAAAATAATTTAAGAGTTTAAAATTAACTGTTGAATAAATTTGACTTACAAATTTGATGTGCCCATCGTAGAGCCATCAGATCATTTGTATGCACATAATGATAGAGTGTTTTATCAACTAAATCATTTGGTTCATAACCGGTTATCTGTGAAACTCTAGAAACAGAAGAATAAATGTTAGTTAATAATATGTAACGATTCTAAAATGCAAAAAAAAATTTGAAGACAAAAGTTCTTATATTACCTAGAATCGAGAAACATTAATTTTAAATCTTGACTAGCTCGAAACATGAACATGTTTGAAAACAATTTAATTTCTGTAATTGAACAACTTGGTAACGAATAACCGTATGCCACAAGTCCAACATTTTGATAACATCCATCATAACATGTTGCATCTAAGCTAAATTGTTTGACTTTTAAATAGCCACTACAATGGATCACTTTGTAACCACTCAATGTTAAACCGGCATTACGTTTAGCCAAAACACATTTCATACGAAGAAAGAAAGAACGTTCCATTTCATATTCTAAAATATTACAGAAATAAATAAAACAATTTTCAAAGAAATAAACTATAGATCATCAATTTTACCTCCTTGAAAACTGTTATACGGATATGCTGGTAATGGTGCTGTTAATACTGTTGCCATTTCTTCATGATCAATTGGATGAATATATTCATAAATACTGTTCCCAGTCAATTCAATCTTTAAAAATATAAAATATATTAAAATAGATATCAACAAAAACTATGTCCATACACATACCTGAGATAGCCCTAAATGAGTTGATGCCGTTTCCGATATATACATAATTTTTCCATCTGGACCAACAACAAATAAAAATCCATCCAAAATCTTGAAATAAAACAATTTTAAATGTTAAAAGATTCAAAATATAAATTATTAACGTACCTGTGCTAGCTGTGAATTAACTTCTCGTTCAATATATGTTTGTGAATTTGATCGACTTCCCCAGACACCTCCAAGTCCTAGAAAAAAAAATGCGAATACAAATATGTATAGGTTTTATTATTGATTCTATATTGTTCAAGTTTATGATTGCTTTAATTTATCTAAGAAAAAAACCGTTGTTACTACATGAATACAGAAAAATTGATACCGTCGATCTTTATATTTCCTTGTCTTGCAGCCCACATTGGTGAATAAATAAAACTTTTACAGTCCATAGTTCAACAAAATCTTCAGCTGTTTTTAACTAACTATAAAGTTGCGTAATGTTGGAATAGCAAAATATTTTTTCTCTACAATGATCTAAGTTGTAGATAGATTATACGATCTAACAAGAAGACAATCTTGGTATATAGGATCAAGTAAAAACATGGAAGACAATTGATTAACATTTCAATCAAAATTAAATGAAAGTGATTTGACAATAAAGTAAATAGCGGTAAGTTTTTACTTTCTCTTTTATATTGTGTTCATCCGTTTCTCTCTATCCCTTAGCTCTTTCTAATAAACAAGCCGAGTGTGTTTAGTGAGTTTGTGTGTTTGATGAATGAAAGTTGTTACAGCTCATCATATATGTGCGAATATTATTTCTTATTTTATTTTTCTCTTTTTGTTTTTTATGATGATTTTAATTAAATTTAAACTAAGATAGACAGGTGTGTGTATGTATGTGTGTATATACACTGGTTAACATGAAATCTTTGCAAGAGCATACTGACGTAAATCTTTTTTCTAAACCAAGATATAATCAATGAAAAATACAACGGAAAATAATTGGATGATGAGAAAAATTAGTTTTCTCTATTATATGCCGGATGTTTAAGTTTGTTTGAGAAAATTTTAAGTCCAAAAATGAAATATGAATATCATGTTTGATCTAGATCAATATCAAATTTCTAATGAAAATATATTTAACAGTTTTAACTATAAACGAGTTTATGCAAGGCTCTTTTTTTGTTAACATTTTTATTGATCATTTTATAATCAATAAAATACAAACATGAAGTGCATATTGATTTCTGTGAAAAGATGATAAATGAAATATTAACAACCTGATTGTATTACGCACAGGTAAACTTAGAGATGAAGAAACAAATGAACGTTTACGCTATTTTTTAAACATAATGTAAAGATATGGTACTTTCACACATTCAATCACCAGTATAATCATCTACTGTTCATTGCCAGATTCGCTATCTGAAATTTACTATTATGCAATTATCTTGTACAGGGTTCTAACTTTTTTTTTTTTAAAGAACTCTGTGTTTGTTTATGAGAGAACAGTACTTAATATGAGAACTCAGACTGTTCTTATACAAAAAATGATAAATGTTTTAGTGTTCGATTGCTTTGTTCCAATAGCGCGCGTCTCACTTAGTTTTCTTTTTATAATAAAACTCTATTACGAGTCATAACATCGAATCATATGACATTCTTTCATAGCCTACATCATGTAAAACAAACATATCACGTATAAGTGGAGACTTTGTTTTTTTTTTCTTCTCTTCTTCCTTTCACGTCAACTAGAGCTAGTAGAACTGATTAGCAAAATTAAAAAATAAGAGTAAAATTGACTTCAGCGAATGAAAAAAAAGAATAAAATCGAGAGAGAAAATAACTGGAAAGTAGAACGAGGCATGATAAGATGAATAGAAAAAAAAATTCGACAATATTACGCGTAATTGTCTATTGTTTAATGGAATTGGCATGGTTAGTTAGAGACTTATCGAAAGAGAGACGGAACAAAATGAAATGGAAATGAACAAGTCGCTTATTTAAATACTTCCTGAGTTCTATCACGATAAAACGATTGTCCCTCACTCATTTATAAACAAAAAACAAATTAAAACGAAATATGATATGGATATAAATGATATGTGAAAAATTTGCTTTTTATTAGGACAACTTCTAGCAATTAAGCTATGCTGATTAAAACTCTAGAAATCTATGTGTAGTCAATGAATAGAGTATATAGCGAATGTACTTTTGATTCAATATGTGCTGTTTTTTATGACTTTTCACTTTCACACGGTTTACAGTTAAAATTATGATTACCAATAATGTTAGTTACTTCAATATCCAAATTTTATAATTATTTCTTTCTCAGCTCTCTCTACATTAGAATTCTCTCTCCTTTTTTCTTTTGTGGAAAAATTCCATAGCCTGAAAGTACATGCTAATTTAGGAAATTTGATACGAAATAATTGTTTGTTGAAAGCGGATTTAGCAATGCTCTTATAAAACTGTTGTTCAAATAAATAACAAAGAAAAACCTTCTATTAATGCAAGCTGAATCCATCAGGTCTCAAATATTTTGATTTTCATTATCATTATTAAGGTTAATTTTAGAAATGAAGATAAATGGTGCCTGAATATTAGTACGCGCTTAAACATTTTTCTTCTGCAACAATAAGAGTACTACACTGAAAGTAATACGCAAGTAATCAATTATTCAAGGTTTTAAGATCAATTTAAGTTGTACGTGATTCGCCATTGTATTTATTTATCAGTAAACTTGACTATGTGTATCTCTATCTGTAAATAGATGTGTACACCATGCATACTATAGCTCTTTTTTATTATTAATTTATTTTTTGATAAGCAATCAAGTGTTAGGTTATTCTTTTCGTCTTTTCCTATAGTAGCATCCTATTCATGATATTTACCACACACTAAAATGTGCTATCGTTTGTTAATGTCTTTATTTCTTATTCATATATATATATATATATATATTTATATATATATTGATTGGAATGTACATTTAGATATGGTCAATTAGATTAAATGGCATATATAACAAGATTGGCTTATCATACAACTACTTCAAAGGCGTTTCTAACTCGATACCTATATCATATTCATATTTTGACATTGATAAAGTATGAAATATAAAATAGTCAATATTGTGTAAAATTCTGATTTGGTAATATTATTGTTATTCTTCATTCTTTCAAGTGCATAACACTTTTCTCATAGTCTAATAATGACATCATGGCAGCACGGCAGGATATTTATAACGGTTAATGTACTGCTATCCGGTACTCATCAATGAATAATTAACAACTTTTCACATTAGAAACAAATTTTTAAAGTCATGGTAGAGAATATTAGAATGCCGTCATGAAAGTTTTACGATATACATTAACTAAGACCTTCGATAGTTTGTCATAAGGATATTTATCAATAAAATCAGAATTTATAAAGTATATCTTTCTTAACTAAAGATCTATTTATCTTCACACAATTTCCTTATAGAGAATATCGTTAGACTAGCACTTCAGTCTTGATACGCCTCTCTAGAAATTAATATGATACGACTAATTTTTTCCAGTTCATTGTGTAAATAATTCGATAAAAGTATGGATCGATCGCTACACTTCTTATTACCTACTTAATTTAAGTCAAGTCAAGTTATAACTTTGAACCTCAATTACTTAAAGTACTTATAGCTCAATGACTTTTAAACTTTTCCATAATGTTTTTAAATTTTAGTCTTCAAAATATAGTGTAAATCTTTCTTGGATGTTAGAAGTAGATCAAAAAATCTAATATTTTCTCATAAATCTAACAGAGATAATGAATTATTCTCGAAAATACAGTGGATATTATGTCATATGTCTTATAAAAGTAAGCTCACTTTTAATTCAATATTTTAATAATTGAATAAAACAAAGCAATACTATACTATCAAGATAGAAACTTTACCTTCAGGAATGATTGCTCTCATTTTCAAATAACTTGTTGTTAATCGAATTACTGACGCTTTATCTAATTGATCGGTAATGGCATGTGGTAATGGTAATAATTTGGCTAATTCAAAAAATTCAGCATTCTCTTTTTCTCGTCGACTTCGGGCAGCATTTTTTGATTTTTCTTTCATGGCTTCGATCCTAAAATAGACAAACAAATTTTGAGAACATCTTGAAGAAGAAAAAAAGTCAATCTCTCTATCTTTTTTCCTTTTTGAGTAATGATCAACATTTACCATATTTTAACACTACATTTTTTTAAATTATTACTGTTGGAGTCGAGTAGGTGATCATTCTCACAAATAGATGTTAAATTAACGACCACTAACAGTGATAGAATTAAAATGTAATTAAAATTAGTGTCATAATACAACACGATTATCATTCATGGTCAAAAAGTGAACTGTTCTTACTGTGATTTTTGACAAAAATTGTTCAACACATACTGTGTGAACGTGGCAAGAAAATAAATAACTTGATAAGGAAAAAATTTTAGTTTCTATTGTTCGAATAAAACTAAACTAATATAGATGATAAATAGAATTATCATTTTTAAAATCGACAATGTGCGTGTAACATACTCAACTAAAACTTATAAACAGACAACATCCATTGTTTTACAAAAAGGTTACGAAAAATACTTCGTCCAATACTGAAAATGATCATTCAACTCCCTTCTTACAAAAGTAATCGATTCTATTTAATTTGACATTAACTTTCAATAAAAAAATAACAACATTAACAATAACTTTGGCTGGTAGTGAATGAAAAATAACAATGACAAACAGAAAATTTATGTTTAGATTAAACAGTCGTCTCAATCAAAATTCGAATGTTTTGAAAATATGAGATCAAATGAAATCTTTCATATGAATTAAAACTGAAATCTAGAACCCTATTTCTCGGAAAAATTTAGATAATCATTGACCTAGAATAGAATTTTCTTTTGAACAGTCACTCTTAGCATATTTTTTAAAAACAATAGTGAAATTAAACATTACCATTATTGATTTTATCACATAGACTACTAATCATTCGATTATTTTTTATTTTGTTACATATGTATTTATTAAACGAAAAACAAAATAAGAAAAAAAAAATACTACTATTAATAATTTTTTAACTATCCGTCGTCTATTCGGTTCGTTATGTATATTATTTTTTCAATCATATTGATTTCACATCATACATACAATACAACACATTATTTCCTTTCTACCTGTCACGTACGTTTGTGTGAATGGGCGTGCTTATTTTGCATTAAAAAAAATTTTTTTCCTTGCCGAATGATCTATTTAGCATTATTATTAAATGGATGAAGAAAAAGAAGAAAAAAAAGAAGAAACATTATTTGAGCACGAATAACAAAGAGAAAAATAAAAATAAAAAAAAATAAATTTTTCTTGTTTTTCTTCTGTACATGTGATTAATCTAGAGTTTTTTTTTCTCTTCTTATCATCATCATCACTTAAAATGATCATTGTGCGTAATGTTCACAAAAAATAAAAATAAAATTAACATTGTTATAATTATTTATGAGCGCACGTCTCTTTCTACTCTACTTAACATTATCATTTGACACACGCACATCATTTTATCAATTGTATTTAATTGGTTCAATTTATCTAATAAAAATGACAAATCTTTCGCGTTCTCTACTCCTATCTCTTCATTAAACTTAAAGTAGATAATATTTCCAATTAGAATGACAATGTTTATTAATTAGAAACGATTTTTATTTTTATTTTTATAGGACTACAATAACACGCCACTTACGATGAGAAATATACCCCGTCTTTCAAATATTGACCTTTTTATTACATTTGTATATAATCAACAAATAACAACATTCCATATACACGATGCATACATATACGAACTGTTTTTAATATATTATTCCATTTATTTTTTCTCTTCTTTTCCTCTATCTTTTTTTTCTCTCTCCTTGTTGGCTTCATATTCCTTTCCCCACTGGCTATATATTCATTACAGTCGGTAGTGATAAAAGTCAACAGTACTCTGTCTCAAAAAAGCAAGAAGTAAAAAACTCTCTAAAAGTGTTCTCATCATTTCATAAGCTACGCAATTATCACATGAATTTTAGTTTTATGCTTTTAAAAATGAGTTTCAGAAGCTTATTTTTTCCATTATACAGAAATGTGGTGATGGTGAGTGAGGTTGAACACTCTGTTTCATCACATTTCTGTTCATCGCTGTCCGTACCGCAAGGCCTTTTCTGAGAACTCATATAAATCATCCTCTACGTTAGCATGACTTCTTTTTCCGTGAACATAATATATGATGAGTTGCCTTTTTAGTTTTCTGCTATGCTTCTCTTTATACCAGTCAAATAAAGTGTTAAATAAAATGAAAAAGTTTCAACGATTCAAGACAGTGGAGTTTTGCTCATTACAAGAATCAAATGCAGTCCATTTTTTCTTCTATCAAGTTTAGATGATTTTGATTCTTGTTCTGCGTCGAATGAAACTTGTTTTTCATTGGTCGCTTTATTAACGAGCAGAATGTATCAATGGTTAAAAGAACGAAACAAGAAAAAAAAAACAAGTGCTTTACGATGATGAGAAAAGAATAGAAAAAAACGACGGAGTTAAATCGGAATGGATGGTTTTTTCAGAAAAAAAAACATTAGCACACAACTGTGCTGTATAATGACGGTAAATTTAAGTCAAAATCGCATTGTTAAAAATTTTAGTTATTACACATACGTACATAATAAAATATAAACAATCGGATCAATTTGAACACAGTCATGAAGTTAATTATCTATATTAAAAAGAATGCAAATTCGTTAAATATTAATTTAAAAGAATGATCTGTATCAGTTTAAAATAAATGACTTCTAAAATATTGAAATTATGAGTATTAATAATATTTCATGTTCCGTAGTGTTTTAAAAATTACCAAAGGTGTATTGGTGGCCTTGAAAGTTTTTATCTTCTTTTTCAATAACCGTTGCGAAATAAATTATACTTTATCGATGATATGCAATGTGTTTTCGTTTGTCTATTTTATTTTTTTTTAATCAGGTTAGTATGTATATCGGTGAACAAAACAAAACTATGATCAGTATTAATATGGCCTTTGAAAACTGTGTTAACTTTCTCACTTCAAATATAGATGAAGGAATTAGTAAAAGATTATAGAACTAACACCCGATGAGCGGTAGCTCAAAAAGAGTCGTTCGAATCTCTTAATAAACGAAAAAAAAAAAACAATACAGACAAAAATGAATAGTTTACAGAAGGAAAAAAAGAAAATCAAGAGTTCGTTTGTGAATATGATTCAATTAGTAAAACATAAAACTGCGACATGAATATAAAATTCATTTCGTTATTTTATCTCTAGACGAACAAATAACTATGTTCTCTATATACACGAAAAATACCCTAGTCAACTTGACAAGATTATGCATAATGCTACAATCTCGATTTATCAACAGTTGAGTCTAATACAATAAAAATAAAAATTTCATATACGAGTTTAGAGACTTTTTTATGTAGATGTTTTCAATAATACTAGTGTGAATAGAAGATATAGGAGTAGTTTTATTAACTAAAAATCAATGATACTACTTCTTTTCCTTGAAAACATTCTCTCTCACATCAGTCTATTATAAAAGATCAGTGTTACCGTTACATTCAAACATTTAATCATTGAAAGATTTGTCTCTCTTTTGTTTCTTTATTTCGTTTACTTAATAATTTACATATTGTCAAACAAAAAGTTCCCCCCTTATTTCTGCATCAAAATTAGCACATCTGAGGACCACCGCTGATATATAGAGAACGAGAGAGACTACTGTATAAGCATTCAATTGAAACAATTTTTATTTACCAATGAGTGTATCGTAATCAATTGAAGAAAAAGGAAAAGAAAGCAACGATGATATGATTTTCATCGAAAGATATACGATGAATGTATTCAATGAAAATTTGAAAACTGAAAATTCAAGGTTTCATTCTTACAGCAGCATAAAAAAAAACCAATAAAGAAGTTCAAAACTTTATAAATAAATATACACACTCATTCTTCAGTTAAACAAATATAGGTTATACTCAGACATTAACAAGTCAAAAAGCCACACAAGTTGAATACAGAATACAAATGAATTTAGCTGATTTAAACACGTGCTCCTGGATAACAATGTTCTCATATTGATTGTAAGAAAATAAAAACAATAATTTTCCATATTAAAAGCTTTGAACAGTATTTTACGTTTGTTAGTGATGAAAGTTTATCAACTTTGGCAATTCATAATGTTTGATCTGATTCTAGCAGGGAACATACCCATTTAGGACGATTCCATGTGATAGATACTCTACTAGCTGCCGCAATGTTTATTAGTTACGAGTTTGTTTCAATAGCACTCTATTCTATTCAAATTTTGAAACGCAGACTAACTTTTTTCTATATCTTGATCAGAATTCACTACTCATGAAACCTAATCGAGAGACGGTAAAACCAATATAAATTTATATTAATACTTGCAATCTAAGCCTAACTTTTACGCTTAGTGCATCCACTGCTTCTGCATTACAAATATTTTTCAATTAATTGAGTCATACAAAGATATTTCTTTAAAATTTTTTATTAAGCACGTAGAAACATATCATAGCCGAGACTTCAGGAAGAGCTGGGGACTTCTGTTTTCTACTGGATTCCCGCAAGGTTTCTCATTTTTCGAGACTACGAAAAATTTTATAAACTATCGCAGAAATCATAGAATTACAAAATAAATACAAAAATCACCCTGAATCACCATTTTACATATCACTGATTTTGAAAATTTGTCTAAGACTTTTGTCTAAGCTTTTGTATTGCATTACTACATAAATTCACATATCATGGATTTTATCAGCATTGATCACCAGAACATCTTATTCATAAATAAAAGATATCACTTTTTTTTATAATATTTTTTTCTCTAACCTATTTTCCTTTTAAAAATACAATGTCAATAGCAGAGATCTGCACAGGCCGTGCTAGAGGATTTTTGATTGGTTTGAAGAGTGAAAACAAATGTTAAATGTTAGACTTGTGTTAGAACTATATTTATATTAGTTTGCTGGTAAAAGCAAAAAATATTAAAGATCTATAAACTTTTGCGAATCGATCTGAATGCGATCCAAAACCTTTTTTCGGCGAGTACACATATCTGGTCAATAGTCACTATAGATGGCAACATATTACTGTTTAATTAAATACTTAAACAGAAGTCAGCGCTCGGTAAGAGATGGCGCTCAAGACACTGGAAAAGTATATAACAAAGATTTCAACAATAATAAAATAAGATTTTAATATTTGCAGAAATGTGTATTTAATCTTGCTACTGTTATTATATTTTCGTTTACTGGAATATTCCTGACTAAAAAAGTTAGGTAACGTACATGTCAACACATCTTCATTTCATTTCTTGCAAAAAAGTGTAGTTCAAAACTCATTTCAAACTGCGTTTAGGAGGAAATGCTTTTGGAAATGGTTAACCCACACTCAGGAATTTCAGAATTAGTTTTCAAAACCCTCCTCCCTTTGTAAAAACCCAAAAAGCATTTCATGTTTACCAAAAAAAGAAGGTTCGGGAAAATGGAAACGGACGGAATTTTTTTTCGATTAGCGGACATGAGATACTGTTTTAGATTACTACAAAGTGGGAAATGATTTTGAAAACGATTCTGGAATCCTTGTCTGTGTGAATCATTTCCAAAGCATTTTCTTCCTGGGAGCTTTTTTTTATTTTTCAAACTGCGCGTCTTTTGTAGAAAGTAATTGATATCTCATTTTTGAAAATTTTTTGTACGACAGTCAGATGTGCGACAATAGAAATTAGAGTGAGATGAACGCTGGGTGCGGCTTACTGACAAAAAACTTTAACTCTTTAACTTCTTCTTTAAATGTTGCGTCCAAGAAATGTTCAGCGTACAATTCTGAACGTTTTTTTCTTTTGCATGAATATTCCAAGGAGAGTTGTAATTGATCCAATTAAATTTTTCAATCGCCCGATATTCATCGATTTTTTACCGATTTATTTTTTGAAGAAGAGTTTTTTTTCGGACGCATCAAAAAAACTTGAAAACATAGAAAAGATTTCTAATTGAAGCTGTAGCCAGTACAAAACTTTAACTTTGTACCTGAAGCCAATATCTGTTTAACAAACTTTCTCTATCATATTCTCTTTTGAAGGTGAGTTCCCGTTTCGTCGAAAACTCACTCTTATAGTTTTAGTTACTACTTTTCGACAAA